GTATCTGTTTCACTGTAGGGAAACTAAACAAAGTATTTTTTTAAAAAGCAGGCAGCTTCATCTAAACTGTGCTGCTTAGCTGCTATGCTGCAGTAACTATCTAAATGCTGCCTGTAATTATCATGTGTGTGGCAAATTTTCAGTTCATTTTAATGACTATATTATCATTTGCTGCAGATAGTCTGCCCTTGAGGGAAGTAGCAGAACATTTGGACAAAGAGACATTAAAGAGGCTAAAGAGTGAATATGGGGGTCTGCAAACACTGCTCAAGAACAATCATCAGGTATTTGAAGGTAAAGAACAGAGAGATTATTTATTTTCATTAATCAGCTCTTGTTTGCCTGATCTATTTTTAACATAAACTTAATTGAAAGATTATAAAATTAACTCTTCTCAGTACTGGATGTCTAGCCATAACAAACAGAATTTTCTATATTTGCCCCTGTATTTCCCTAGATGGCAATAGTAGAAACAAGAATGGCAGGATGAGCTTGGTACCTTGCCAGGTGGTGTAGTAATTTTGTCTGGCATATTTCTTGCATAAATCAGGTATGCCCGATATGCCTGCTGTTTACTAACACAAGTTCTCAGCTTGGTGCTACAATTTGACTAGGTCATGAAACTTCTGTTTTCTAAAGTGGCCACAGTGTTGAAGGAAGTCAGATGCAGAGGAAGTGCACTGGAGCATTTCATTAAGACTTGGTCTGGACTTAACAAGCCCTACAGAGAGAACTGCCAGCAGAAAACGGAGTTGGCCTAGACAAGAGGCTCTAATTATATGAGGCTTGACAGATTTTTACAGGCTGCAGCAGGCTGGCAGAATAGGAAGTTAACAGCAAAATACCTTTTTTTATTATTTTGATTTTCTTAGGATTTCATTTTACTGTTGTAAATGTAGAATTTTTACATCATTGATAACCAGCAGCAGAATAATAGCACTTGAAGCCAGTGACTTGGAAAGCTGGTATGTGGGTTAGTAAAAAGTTTAGGGTATTTTTATAAAGGTGTTTATATTCATGATTCCAGCAATGAGTTAGCAGCAATATGTAAGTGAATTTACCCATGATAAGTCATGCCTAAGAATTTATCCATCCAGTAAGTCACCAAGTACCAATAGATTACTTAGTAGACAGCCAGAAAATGCCATATTTGCTGCCAGGGCTCAGTTGAGTAGGTGGAGAAGTCTCCAGATATGTCCATGCAACAGGAACTTTTGAGGGATAAAACCAAAAGCCCAAAACAGTGTTGCGCACCTACACTAGGATTGTGTACTTGGACAGCTCTGAACCAGGTTGGATGACACCAGAATCTACACAACTACATCCTGTCTATATTATCACTTCTATTGTTTGTACTATGAGTGGAGCTCTGTGACCAATGTTAGTGCTGTCAGTGTCAGAGATGCTTCAAAATTAAAGCAGAAATTGAGAAGAATGGAGGCAGTTCATGCTTAACTTGCATTGAATTCATCCATCTTCCAGATATAATCCTTTTGTGGTGGAAATGGTATAGTTCCATTACGTGGGAGGGTGGGACAGGATTTAGGACTCCTAGCAAAGGGGGAGCATTTTTATTTTCCATAAAGCCAAATGTCCTGGACACTACACACTATCTAAGAAACAGAGATTTGGGTGCAAGACTAGAAGATGCACACAACCATGGATAAATTGCAGGGAGATTTCTCACCTTTGCAGCTTCACTAGAGACCACAAAGTCATTCTGCTTTTATGATATGGCTGTAAGTATAGAAAAGGACTCTTACTAACAGCCATCCTGGGAGCCAGCTCCAAAGAGGGCCACACTTAAGATAGCACAGCCACATGTAATCTGTCTTTCTTATACCAGCCACTGGAATTGGGAGAATTCTGTACCACTATAGAAGGTGCATGTTTTGGGGGAGTGATGGGTTATTCTTCTCTCCACCATGCTCCTTATATTAGGCTATGTCTGTTGAGCAGAATCAGGTTTATTTGCCCTGTATGCATTTCTGTAACTGTGCAAGAGTTTAAACCTGGGCCCTGGGTTTTGCTCAAATGATCCATTTGTTTTGTATTTGTTATACAAAGAGAGAGACTTTGCACTTTGCCAGTGTAATTCCCATGACCCTCTATTAATGTTTTGTATGTTTGTTTATTTTTCAAACCTCAGTTATAAATGGGAGAGTTCAGATCCGTGACTGGAGAGAAAAGAAACAGGCCAAGAAAACCCCACCAGAAATCAAACGAAGGCTTTCTGCTGAAGCTTTCAAAACACGCCTCTGTTGGTTTTTCATTCATCACCCTGATGGCTGTTCTTTGACTTCTGAATCCTGCCCGTACGCTCATGGGACTGAGGAGCTGAGACAATCTCAGATTTTGAAAAAGATAAAGCATGTGCAATAATAAAGTTCTGTCAGTTTTATGCTTAACCAGCATAAATATCTTTCTGACTAATTTCAGGGACTGCATACTACATGCAGAACTGTATAAAGTGTTTATAATTCTCTTGTATTTATTTTGTTAATCTATTTCCTTATACAGCCATCTTTATTTTTTAATTTGGGGATTGTTACATTGAAAGAAACAGTGGTACGATATATGTATTTTCTTTATTTCGGCAACTAAAAATATAGAATTTCCCTTTCTATTTTTTAAAATGTGTCATCTGTCTGCTCACTAGTTTGCAGCGTGTTTTGTTGAATCTCAGGACAGTCTCAAGAGTTGGGTTTTTTGCCCCTTTCAGCTTCTGTGGCTTGTAATCCATATTCCCTAGAAAGTCAGCCATTTGCTTGATAGACTTTCCATGCAGATGCTTGTTTTCCAGCTCCTAAATGGCATCCCTAAGTAAAGGGGAATTTGGAGCATGGGGATTGGTCCCACTGCCCACTTCATTAGTTTGAACTAGTTTAAAGTAAAGCAGCAGCCAGCAACCTTTAACAAGCTGCAAGCCAGAACACCTCAAAACCACTCCCGTTCCATGCAAGCCGGGTGGTTCTGGCAGCAGGTTAGTAGTGGGGGGGCTTTGCCTGCGCCCAGGCCGCTGCTGTTTTCCCCAGCCTCCTGCTCCCCAGCTGTGAATAGGCATGGCTTCCAGGCAGGGGCCAGGCAGCTGGAAGTTGAGTTCTTGTTGATGCCACTCCCTTGCCCATGCCCCTCTATGCCCAAGCTGCAGCACAGCTCCCCACTGCCTAAAAGCTGTGCTCACATCACAGCTAGTGAGTGCGGAGCTGTAGGAAGCACTATAGGCACGGCTTCCAGCTGCCCAGCCCTGGTGCAGCTCCTTGCTATCTGGCCCTGGGGAAGGTACAGGTACAGGCATGGGCACAGGAACAGACAAAGACTTCAAGCTCCACAGGCTGGCTCTCGTGGCTCACAGGCTGTATATTTCTGACCCCTGAAGTAAAATACAAAATGGGTACTCTTTGCAGTGTTGGGAAATGAATATGAACGACCCCAAGGCATTTGCTCTGGGGCTTTCTAGAGCACTATCTGTCCTTCATTTTCAGAACAGGATTAAGTCTATAAAATCATTGATAAAGAGTATTACACACAGTTTATAGAGTGACAGGATGCATGCATATCGTATGGCAAGAGCATGTCTGCTTCAGACTGCATAAGGTGCTCCCTGGTGAAATAAGTCTTTCTCTGAGCAGCAAGTCCTGTTTTATTTTGTTGCATTTTATTGTAGCTCCTGTATTGGAATAATCCATTGTTAAGTGATTTGAGAGTTTAGGTCTCACTATCCAGTTGCCATAACAACTCTTGGCCTGACAACGTGTGCTCCATCAAGAGTTCTGGGAAACGGATCTCTCGAATTATCTGTAAGGAATGGGCATCTGAGACAGGATTTTGTGTTTAACTAACTGCTGCTGAGAGGAGCAATGGTCTGAAGAAATGGCAGGAAGAAGGAAAGCAGTATCACTAAAAGAATTTGCTTGTGACAGTAAAGGTGCAGAGTGGGATTGGAGAGATGGATCTGGAAGTGGAAGTGGGTACACCTGACTGAGTGGAAGGAGGGGGGTACAGCAAAAAAGTGAATGCCAGTGTGAGTGGTGGGAGCAGTGCTATGTGAGTGATAATTTAAAAGAAGATGAACCATGGAGTTAGTGTAAGATAAAATGGAGGATGCAAGAGGTGACAACATTTTCCAAAACTACTCTGAAAACACTTTCCCTTCAATCAGAGTGTCACAGCCCCCTGTTTGCAGAAAAAGTAGCCAGGCGCTGTCTTAGTGGGAAAGTCAGACAAATAATCTTTCCCTTGCTACCTTCCATTTCTAGGGAATGTGGATATCGCAAGTGTTCCCCTTCTTGTTCAGCAGCATATACCGCATTGGGCCTCTCACTCTTTTTCTGTTTGGATCACTAATGTTCAGTCCTGGCAACATGCAGTTCAAGTCATGTGGGTGCGCTCCCTAAACTGCATCTCTACCACATAGTGGGATTTGAGGAGGATATTGCAAGAAAATCCTAGAAATGGTACAGAGTGCAACTCCTTCAGGTTTTGCCA